CCATGTGGCTGATGTGTAGATCAATGTTTGGGTCCCATGCCATACAAGGATAGCCAACTGGGCAGCAGGTTAAGATGTTATGTGAGCACATAAACTTAATGGGCCTAAAGCCCATTCGAGCTGGCTTAATAAGATTAATTAAATAAGGGGCGGTTCTAGGATTTGGATCAGCTGATAGGATAAGAGATTATCCCTATCCACTCAAAGAGTCCAGATCCAAATAAAGATTTGGATCAGGAAACTCCTAATTTGATTAGGAAGGTTGATCTTTATCTACAGATAAGATAAGGGATTATCCTTATTTCTTAAGGAGAGTCCAGATCCAAATATAAGATTTGTATTAGAAAACTCCTAATAGGATTAGGAGAACCTATCTTTAAGGCTATAAAAAGGAGAGCAGGGAGGACCTCCAAATACACTCACAGTCTACTGAATTAAGAGAAAAGACAACTTACAGTTTGACTGCTCTTGTCTTCTGCTCTTTTCTTCCTGTTCTTGCCGCCCCTACCCAGTTCGATCTCCACCAATGGGAGTGATCATGAACCATTCTTGATATTGCTTCTTGCTAGAAGAGGCAATCTGAAGTTGTGCTCACCAATCCTCTACTAAATTCTTGCTAATGAATTCTGTTCTTGCTGAAGAGCCGTCCGGCTAATTCTGCTTCACCTCACACTGTGTCATCTTCAGTGGGAGCAAATTTTGGTTTTCTCCTTGGGCGTGAACACCTTCGTTGGGAGTTATTGTTACTCCATATCAGGTATATCCCTCTCCTCTCTTTTGGTTTCAGATCTGGTCTAGTTTGTTTCAAGATTGATCATTGAAAATGCAGTTTTCTAAAATAGGGAATGTGATTCCCAGATGGGAGAGAGAAATTTTTGAAATTTCACCCAACCTTCCTGCAGGGTTCGGCCATCCATATGATGGATCTCTCATCCCTTCAGTGGTRTCAGAGCCAGGTTCAAATCTTGACCCAAATTAAACCAGATCTAGATCTACGCAAATAGGCAGAAGGCGTTGTACCTGATTTGCGCAGTTAATGTTTTTTTGGGAAATTGGTTCCTAGTTTTGGGCGATTGGTCTGAAATTAAATCTTTATTAATTCGATTAATATTTAGAACTGTTCTATATTTTTTTCTTGATTTTTAGGTTGTTCGTATGGTGGAGATCAAATTCTTTAATGGCGCAAGAAATCTGCGCACCTGTTGTTCTATTCATTCTTGGTCTGTAATTAATTATTTTTAATTTTTAGACAGAATGTATAGGAATTTAAATCTGATGTAATATTAATAGAAAATAGGTTTTCTATTTTATTTCATTCGAAGATGAAGCAGAAAGCGTAGAGGAGAAATTTTTGCAGATTTGGGTTCAGCAAAGTGTGATTTGCAGTTTTGGAAACTGCATACTGCAATATAATCTTTGTTTTGCAGGGTAGCAGTCTTACAAAAAACCCTCCTACTGATTCTTGATTGTCTTGTATCAGTTATTTAATTTCAGATCATCTTCTTGAATTGAATTTTGAATTAAACATCAAACCCTAGATCCGTTCGAAATAGATTGGACCAAACTGGTTGGACCGAATCTGTGGTTCGATGGGGGATATTCCTAGCCCTAAAATTTCCAATATGGGTCAAGGAGTTGATGATTAATTGCAAGATGCAATTCAGCCCACATCTGTAAAACCCAATTTTAATCTGTTAAAATTGCTTTAGCCTAATTAAGCATGAATGTTATATGGGTCGAACTACTCTCTGCAGTTCAGCCCATATACCTAGATAATATTAATTAATAATGTTATGAGCTTTAAATGGGCTTTACATATGGTTTTATAGTTATTTAATTGATTGGATCAATTATGGGTTTTGTGCATGTGATGTGTGGATGTGTGATGTGCTACGCTCATGGGCCATAAGTACTTGGCCCATGCTGACTTGATAGTGGCTCTTGCGCACACCATGGCTGAATGCACATCATTGCCATGGTGTCCTTACGATCATTGGATGATCTCCCAATATGGTGGGCCCCAC